CGAGCAATTGGGATAATTATAATGAAAGTTACGTAAAATGCATCAATTTCTGGAAATCTCTATTTAATGTTTCTAGACTACAGTTGACCAGTCGTAACTAAAGTAATAGACAGTGAGGTAATAGGCCAGGAGAACCACTCTACATAGAATTTTGCTTTACTGAGAATCACACTTTTCATCTGCTGAATTGTGAGAAATGCAAGTCCTCCTGGGGCTTATCTCTTTGAGATTCACAGCATTATTTTGATTTTATGAGAAAACCAGTTTCTTATCTACCACATGACCCAGAGGTCCTCAGCAAACCTGTGCGGGGTGGGCAGATGGCACAGGGAGAGTGTCGTGAACAGCAGGAACGGAGCAAGCGGCTCCTCGGAAGTCTAGTTTGACTTCTTGATAGAAGGATCACACTGTTATAAAATGAACAAATCATCCAGAGGCTACCCGACAATATACGCAATAGTTTAAATTCTTGAAGTCTTGTACTAGGCCCTGGGCTAAGTATTTTATTTGTATACTAAATTGGGCTTAAGGTGAGGCTACAGGCAAAGAGACTTAATTCCTAGTTCTCGGCCTGGAGATTATTTATACCCCCTTGCGACAGATTTGACTCTTTTGGACTCCTCTGAATCCCTAAGAGCCCCACAGCTGTAAGGATCTAAATGTGCAAACGTAACCTGTGGCATGAGAGGTGGGAAGAATAGTGAGCTTCCCCACTGCCTGGCCGTTGGGAGCCAGCCGGCGTCTGCCGCCTCTCAGGACCAGTGTGGAGGTCCCTGCTCAGGTTCCTTTCTTGTCTTCAGATCACGCGGAAGTCACCCAGTCACCCACCTTGTCCAAGTGGGTTCGTACCGTGTCCCTGAGGCGAATCTGCAGGGGCCTGCAGGTGCAGAGTGCGGGACACCGGTCCTTCTTGGGCTTCAGGAGCGTGCTTCTTGTGGGAGTTCCAGCCCGAGTCTGTCTCCCTGTCCTCGGGTGATCTTCTGCTCGCCCTGGTCTCCTGCAGGGGCTCTGTGTGGGGAGGAAGTGGTCACACAGCCCAAACACTGTGGATCTGAGTGACAGAGCTAGCTGGAGACTTTCTCCTGCATGTGCCACACCATGCAGTTTGGAGCTGTGTTTTAACAGTTGTGGGTTTTCTTACTAAAACATTGCCTTTCAAGAAAAGGAAAAAAGATTGCTGCTTTACCTGTCTTCGCACTTCTCTCGGAGGGCTCTGGTTCAGTAAACCACATGACATCAGCTTTCTGACTCTCCTTTTCCCCCACCACAGCAGAACGTGATAGTGAGATTGCTTATTCCAAACATGGAGAAGAGTGTGAGGAGGAGCCCTGGGTTGTGTGCCCTGCCCGCCTCTTGCCAAGCTCACCGTGGGCGCAGCACGGTGGTGGGAGCCGGACGGCAGGAGCCACAGCGCAGCGGAGCTCAGAACCCCACGCCACGCTCTGGGCTGTAAGCTTTTCTTCAGGCGTGGATCCCTTCTCCCGCTACACGTTAGCCAGCAACCCGATAAGCATCTTAGGGTAGTGCTCAGACATCAGGCCCAGAAACCCCCACCAGCAGCTCCCCAGCTCATGACAAACTCAAACCCCCGCGAACTCACGGAAATTCGAGTTGAAGCTGTTCTTTTTCATTCTAAAAGCAGAAGAAATCTTGCAAACCCATCACATGGACTTGAACCACATGTGTGTAGGCACAGATTTCTTATGCTTATAGATTTTATAAACCATAAGTCAAAAGACACATGAGTTAGGCAGAAACTAAGAAAATTAGTAGCACTTGAAGTAATACTTCAGGTGAGGACCGTTCGTTTTCAGAAGCGGAGCTGCCAGCGTAGAGGCCGTCGCCCGCAGAGGCGCATCTGTGCTGCTCCTGTCGCTTCTGTTTATCTGCTTCACTTTATTTTGCCTCTCGTGGCCTCTCACATGCCCGTAGCTTTACAGCAGTCACCACATTCCCTTTGTAGCTACTGATTGCCATTTTATAAAGTGTATTTGGTGGTACATCCTGAGGTCTAACGCTGAGGAAGAACCGGGTGATCACAAGTGGCCCGGGTTGAGCAGGGTCTGCCACCACCTTTCTATTTGCAGGCTGCTGCCTGGCTGTTGGTCTTGGGAGAAGCCGTGACATCTTTGTGCATTACTGAGCATGCGTGCAGAGCTCCCTTTTATATAACCAGTCTCTTGTGTTTTCTCCATAGCCCGTGGCTGCTTGGGTGACTTAGCCCCATCCCATCATTTTCATGCTGCTGATTGATTCTGCCCCAGGGAAACCTAGCTTTCTGTTTTTGGGGACAGCTGTGCTGTAGGCACCAGGGACCGCTTCCTTCCTTTTTGCCAGCATGGCCCTGCTGGCCCGGGGGCCACCAGCACAACCCTCTCCTCACTCAATCCTCACGAGTCCCCAGTCCTCTCCTCTTACTTGGCCACAGCCCTACAAATGTAGATATGCAGCTGAGTCACGTGGCAGGGCTCAACTACCAACATCCGTGACACACAAATTCACTTCTATCACTTTAGCAATTTTGATCATAGCATGGAAACATAAAATTTAAAAATTCTTGCAGAATTCAAGATCTTGCCCAAAGATTTCTCATAGACAAGGACATGGGTTTGAGAAACACTGCTCTGTAGAAGATTGGGCAAATATCTGATAACCAGGAGCAGTTCCTTTTTTATTCTCAGAAGAGATATAACATTTCTGAGGATTTCTGAGACATTGGCCTGTTTCTCTGTCTTCCTCTGCCTTGAGGTACTCTCTGAGCCGTTCATAACGTTGTGCCCTTGTTTCTACATGAAAATACTTCACAAAAGACCTCCTAGACTGGGATAAGGCCTTGAGAGTTCGGTCCATGGATGGGACAGTTTATAGTTTGACCTAATCCTGAATTGTCGTTGACTTCCCCTCCTCCTGTGCTGATAGCTTCTTGATTTCTGATTTTGTCTCAACCCCATGGAGCTCCTGTGTGTGCGACCGTGCTTCGCTTGTGGGAGGTGCTGAGAAAATGCTGCTGAAAATCGAGTGAATATCAGTATGAGAGAGTGCTCAGTGGTGTGATGTGCACCAGACGGCATGCTCCACCTGTCCTAGCTGTCGCAGTGACAGACTGGAGCCTCCGCAGCACACCTCTGGTCCATCGCCGCCCGGAGCATGGCCCTCTGCCTCCTCCTCCCAGCAGCACAGAGCTGGGGTGCGGTGGAAAGCTTCCCAGCCGACACCCTTCCCTCCCCTGCCTTTCCAGGCGCCCCCATCTTTGTGATTCCTGGGGCCATGTCACTTTGCTTTTCACAGGAAACCTGTAGGCCATGGTCCAGAACATGTACTTTCGGCCCATTCATGGAGCCCTGTAGCTCAGGCAGGTCGGAGACAGTGCACACTGTTTGCCATTTAGTTTCAGCCGACTTGCCAGGTTTCATTGTGGCAGCAAACTAAGGGGCTAAACTGCGTCGCAGAGAGCTTCTGATTCTCCAAGGTGACGCACAGAGTTACTAAACCTCATACAACACTTTGGTTAGGTAATTGGCCATTTTTCTCCAAGGTAGTTTTATTCTAATTTAGCTTTTTTTTTTTTTCTTCTTCTTCTTGAGAGAGGGTCTCGCTATGCAGCTCGGACTGGCCTTGAGCTCACTTTGTTGCCCAGGCTGGTCTCGAACTCGCACTGATCCTCCTGCCTCAGCCTCGTGAGTGCTGGGATGACAGACGTGCCCGCTGCTGTTCATCTTTCTTCTCACAGAAGCCATTCAGCAGGTAACAGGCCTTCAGGTGCACAACCCATCTTTGAGGAAGTGTCCTTTGTGGTGCCGGCCTCGCTGCTGCTGCTGTCAGAAGGTTTGCAGGGAGGCCGTGTTAGCAGCTCTTCCACACACGCCGGCCACTCACTTCTTCATAGTCTTGTTAAAGAATATGAATTAGCTCTGGCAGTAAAGGAGAACTGCCCACGACTGATGCTCCAGTGCTCCACGTGCCAACACATGCATTATGTCAGAGGAGGCTGGGAGGGAGACAGCGAGGCCTCGACTCTGTGCCATGCCTTGTAAGCTGCGTGGCTAGGGGCAGGCACTTTCTGCGAACTGGGGAATTTTCCATCAAAACAAGTAAATCTTGCCTTCTAATCAGGAAGCAGTTGCCTAACTTGGAATTAGGAAATCTAAAATGCAGTGGAACTTTATGAAAGTCAAGTAGAAAATCCAGATGCTCTGTGGATAAGAACTAAATCTGAATGAAGATACCAAAGAATAATTTTTATTTAGTAGTTCGGTGATCAGAGTATATTGTCCTTGACACTCAGAGTAAAATTAGATATCTAATTTCACAGCATACCATATTCATTTTTATAAGATAAGGAAAATAGCATTAACTAAGGCATTGATGCTGTTACATTGGATTGAGATCTATATGGCGTAGGTATATCTACGTGTATATAATTTGCACATACACGGGCGAGTAGGTGCACAGTCTGTTTCACCAACTCTGTAACTAAACAGTGCTGCAGTTTCTCACTTATTTAAAAAGCCATATGCTTTTATACTGAAGTCATAAGGCATCAATACTGTCTGCTTCCAAAGCTAAATCCTCAGGAAACCGTCACATCCTTATACCCCTCTTTTTAGGACAACAAGGGGTGGACCCCTCTTTTTAGAGGAACAGGGGCACAGCTCACAGCTGCTGCCGAGGTGCAGGCTGACTACTGGCCTCAGCGCCAAGTGGATTCGTGGGTTGGATGGCACTGCTGTTGCTCGTGGTACTTAGGTACAAGATGTCCAGCTGGCCAAACAACCTCCTGTCAAGTGTTAGGAGGAGGCGGTTTGGAGGCTCCTGAGGCCCTTCTTGCAGGCAGAGATCATGTGGCTTGGGGACATGCATTCCTGGGGTCACAGAGTGGCTGCCACATCTGCAGCCCCAAGAACTGCGGTGGACATTATGGGCAGTGTGCTTAACCACTGATTGAGTTGCCTTCCAAAAGCCTGTCCTGCATATTCTGAGCCACTTCTTTGTCTTAACAGGGAGAAGATCCAATTTATCAGAACGGAAGGGACCCCAGGATTGGTGCGCCTCTCGAGTGACGCAGACCTTGTGATGCTGCTGAGGTAGGTGACACTGGGACCTGTGGTGACAGCCCCCTGTCGGCAGCTACAGTGGAACATTCTGGAAAGCAACATGTCTGTGTTGGTAGCCTCAAAATGTCCCTTTTGACCTTAGAGACTTAAGGAAATAGTCACGTTAATTTAGGGTGCTGCTCTAGGGGCTTCACTTCGTTTTGCCTTTGCTCCCCCACTGTAAAGGATGTGGTGTGGAGGGGACTCGTAGGGACTCATCAGTGTCCCACGCAGAGCAGGCCAGGAGGGTGACCAAGTGAGGTCCTCATGCTACCCCTCCGTGTCAGAAAGAGGTCATATTTATATTTTCTTTCAATTCTTTTCTCAAAATGTGCTTTGTGTCCTTTTGCTGATTCAAGATATTGTTTATTTACTCTGTGGTTTTGAGAGTTAGGCTTGGGAAAGCAGATCAGAAAGTTGAAATTTGGCCCGTGGACTCGCTGCCAACCTGATAGCCCTTTGTGTGACCAGCCAGTTGCATTTTCATTTGTGATGGTTAGATTGGCTTTGGTTTTAAATTCTAGAATAGTGGATAAGGGAAACTGTCAGATTTTCAAAAGATTTTCTAATTTTTAATATTATCCCTCAAATGTAGGGAGCCAGAGTAAAATAACGTTGTGCTCTGCCCAGTGGCTGGGACAGCCACCATTGAGGTCAGCACGGAATTATGGGGCCGCCACCCCGAGCCAGGAAGGCTCTGTTTTTGTTTATCCCAAGCACTGACAACCCCACTCAAGTTTCTCATGAAGTTCTTGACCTGGCCATTTCTGGTTCTCCACTCCATAGTTACCACAGTAGATGCTGTAGTTTGACTGCCCTCTTGATGGTTACCAAAGTGGTTTCCCTTTAGTGTGGAGTTGAAGCATAATTGGAAAGGACGAAATTGCTTTCCTCAGCGGCTCTATTCCCTGGATTCTGAGCAGCTCCTGCGGACGCTGCCCCATCTCCATCAGCGCTGTCCCTGCCGCGGCCATGCAGCTACCTCTGAAAGCGTCACACAGCTTGCTCGGTGGCCTGCACGTATCAGAGGGTGTTCCAAGTTTGGTTTATGTTAAAATCTTACTACAAAATTCTGGCTAGGATATAACTCTCGCTTCATTCTAGAATTCTAAATTTGTTTTATTTAAACTGTGAGTTCTGCTCTTGGAATTAGAAAAAAAAAAAAAACCCACTCATGATTATCCCTCTCTTCATTAAATCATCTTTGTGTGTGTGTGTGTGTGTGTGTGTGTGTGTGTGTGTGTGTGTGCTGGAGTCAAACTCAGAACCTTGCACTTCCCTGGCAGGCACTTGTGCTGCTGAGCTATATCCCCGGCCTACTAAACCATCTTTAGGTAGATCTTCTTGATTATTTTATTACACCAGACCTTAGAATAGCTGTGCTTTCGTAAACACCACATATTGCTTGAATTTCTGTGCTATGTGGTTGAATTTAAAAATATCTGAAGCTCTTCTAGGAAGAGCAAGGTCACATTGTCCCACTTGAGGAATAAGCATGTGTCTGAAGCTTCATGTGTCATGGGCAGAGTGTGCAAGACTCACTCATGTATGTCCATTCTGTGATTATCTCGTAAAAATGATGTGCTCAGTTCTAGGCCTTCATTTCACTTGATTGTGGCCAAATACATTTATTATTTTAATAGTATGCAATGAAATAATGTGTTATATGTGCCTACTTAAAAGTAATATTTAATCATTATTGAAAATGCTAGTGTTTAATTCATATCTCCAGTTCATTAATTTTTATAGCATTTTGGAATTTGAGCCATTTCATTTGGTTACTATGAACTCAGTGTTCTTGTGGCATGCAGAGTAAGGGTTGGCGCTTGCTTTTGTAGCTTTTCTGTTTGTTAAAATGGAAAAATCACTCCTGGCACAAATGTGCTTCATTGTCAGCAAATCACAGTGTACTTCTAGGACATTATTTAATTCAAAATAAGCCCCTGTAAAGTTATGTTCTAACATGACTATGATAAGCACAAGAGCTTTTAAGTGATCTTGGGTTTTATTAATTGTTCCATGTTAATAGCTCAGTGACTCCAGTCATGCAAAGCAGGACCTTCTCGCAGATCTCAGAACTCACTGGCAAATTTGGCCACATAAATGTAAGTTCATATAATGCAAGATGCTGTCGCACACAAGGACAAAGGGTAATAAACTAGGAGAACAGCAGTCACAACACATACAGCAAAGAGACATGAACGGATGAAGAGTGCCCTGAAATTACTTTAAAAGAAGAGAACGCAAAAGCAAAGTGATTAGGGATATGCAAAGATCAAAGGAAGGGAAGGGTGCATGGCCAGTAAACTCATGAAGAGAGGCTAATAAGCTCATAATCATAAGATGCAATTTCAAATCATGAGATACTGCTTCCCACTATTAGATTAAAGAATCAAGAAATATGATAATAGAAGAGAAACACATGTATATCGCCTACTGTCTGGGCTGAGCTGGGGGAACTGCAGCTTCTCTGCGCAGCTTGGAGTTCCAGTCGGTAATCTCTCATGCAGCTGGAAGGCTCGAGTGTTTTCCCCAGCAGCTCTTCTTTTTCTCTAATGCTGTGTTTATATCAAGGCATTATTTCACACATTCACAAACTGGCACCGAAAGTGTGCTCGTTATACCTGCTGATGAAGGCACGCAGCTGTGCAAGAGGGACCGCATGGAAACGGTGCATTCAGAGAATCGCCTGCCCTCTAGCCAGCAAGAGGAACAAACGCCATGGGTCCTAGTTATCCACGTACCTATCAGAGCCAGGGCAACAGCTTTGAATAAGAAAAGATTTCAAGAATGCCACGTACTCACAGAGCTTTATATAATTTTAACAGTGCCTAAAGTAAAATTGTCTGTTACTTATCTCTCTATACAGATGGATAGATAATAAATATATGCTACAAAATATAAAATTATCCCCCCCCCCCGGGCGCACTGAGATGACAACTGAGGCTGGGCATGGTGGCATGCGCCTGTAATCCCAGATCTTGGGAGGCTGTAAACAGGTGGATCACTATAAGTCCGATCTAGTAGTGAGACCCTGAGCACCCTGTAGACCTTCCCTAAAATAAATAAATAAATAAATAAATAAATAAATAAATAAAATCATGGAAGTAATTGGGTTCTCCAGATCCTGGCAGCAGAGAGCAGAGGGGGCCTCTGGTGGGACAGGTCGGTGTGAGGGGGTAACCTTCCCCGTGGCTAAGGAAACACCTCACTGACCACAGTGTGTCCTTTGCTTTCTGTCTTCCCCAGCTTGTTTGAAGAAGAGATAATGTCCTATGTGCCTCCACACGCCTTACTGCACCCCAGCTACTGTCAGTCCCCACGCGGCTCCCCTGTGTCCTCGCCCCAGAACTCACCAGGTGAGTCCACTGCCACAGGGAGGGCCCTGGGCGTCGGTCACCCTGTCCTTCACAAGGACCACAGGAAGCATGGCTCCATCTAAAGACGGGCTCACCCAGCTGCGGCCTGCATGGCAGCTGCCATCCCTTCAGAGTGGCTTGTTCCCACGGGGGCTTGTTTGGACAGATAACGAGCTGACAGTTGGGGTCGGAAGTGACATGTGCTCACACATGCAGTTTGCTTGGAGGATATTCGGAGGACCAAACATACCTTCAAAAGTGCTAAGGCACAAAATATTATGTTAGTTGTTTTGGGGTTTAAAAAGTTCCACTGGGAAGGCAGATTGGAGAGACAGTGACAAAGTATCACTATGGAGAAATAAAGTGGAATTTACATAAAATAGAAGGTAAGGCATTCAGTGTGATGAACTTGGATATTTACCCTGTAGGGTCAACTAACCGCTTAGACTGAGAAAGCAAAAACAGGCAAATGAGCAGCTAGAGCCCGCATTTGTAAGTCTGACTCTTGAAAGAGGTAAACGTGAATTAAGGATTAATGGGGTAAGTGAATTTACCGTTCATGAAGAAATGGTCAAAAATGGAGCTTAGCAAGCGAGTGTGTTGAAGAAAGTAGAGTTGGTGTTGACGGAACACCACAATGCTTACTCTCATTGATGGGCAACATCGTGCGCAGGGTAACGGCTACCAGCATTGAAGCCCACCTCAGTAGAAAGAAATCCAGGCTCAGGTGTGTCCCTGGAAGCGGCTCTGGGTTCCTTGGTGCGCAGCACGTGTTTGCACATGCAGCTGTGATAACAAAACTGCACCCTCGCTGAATCCCCAAACAGGAAAAGGTCCATTAGCGCTTGTTTATTGGGCATCCAGCTACGATCAAGCAGGAACCAGATTGGTGGCAGGGGACAGCAACACCGACCCTGCCTTTGAAGGCGATGGCGGGGTGGTGAGTCAGCCCTGGGAATATGTGTGGGATCCATTCTCCCTTCAGGCTGCGCTGGGTGTTTGGGAGACAGTTGCCGTAGGCCTGTGACAGGAGGCAGGGAATGGATTCAGGGAATGCGAAGGATGGGAGTGCATACCTGTGGACCACCAGCCTAGGTGGGGAAGAAGGGAGGCAGATTCTGGTACTGTGTGGTAGCAGGTGTGTGCACCACTTACTAGGAAAGAAGGAAAGGGTGACAACAGGACTGGCTTGGGGCCTGCCTTGCTGAGAAATCCCCAGCCCGCCACATTGGAGATACCCCCGGAGAACTGGAAAAACGGCCATGAATGGCAGAGAGGGTGCAGCTGGGACAGCCGGGAATTCAGGGCACAAAAGGCCAGGGAAGCCCAGAAGAGCAGAAGCAGGGGAGACCAGACTGGGCAGAAGGCAGGGGACAGGGACACGAGGAGCCCAGGGCTGAAGGCTTGGGCTGAGGTGGGGGAGGAGCGAAAGGCCAGCTACACATTTGACGCTCAGCCTAGCAAAGTCTTTCCAAGGCAGCCAGGCTTCTGGCAGGCACCGCTCACAGCTGCTCATGGGCTGAGGGAGGAGCCGGTCTGACCAGAGACCATCAGCAGCTCTGAAAAGTGTGAAGCCATCAATCCCCTGGACCCAAGCAGGGCAGGCTGATGGACAGACAGGTCACACGCTGCCCAACGGCAGAGACCCGTTCCAAAGTGGTGGAAAATGGGCGGTGGGACCAGGCACACTGGACACTGTTGTCGTGAAATGTGGAGGGGACACAACAGAGTCTGAAGGAGAAGGGGGAGGGATAGGGTTTAGGGTGGGTAGCGGAGAGCACGTCTGTGGTGGTCACGGGGTGGCCCCCGCCCCACCTTTTGGTCTCTTTCCCATTGGCAAAAGATGTATCTTCCTTTTTCCTAGTGTCTGTCTTCTATTTTCATGTGTATTCTTTGGGTTTCTTGTGTAAGAGAAACTGTGATATCTAAGCTCGTGTGTCTGGTTTGTTTCACTTCATATTATGGTCTCAAGGTGCATCGACTTCGCTGCAAATGGCTCGTTTATCCTTCTTTATGGCAGAATAGTACCCCATGGTGTGTAAATACCAGTCTTTTAAATCCACTGGTCTGTGGATGGAGATACGGGCTGCTTCCAAGATTAGGTATTGTGAGTCGTGCTGCTCTAAGCGTGGATGTGTATGTGTCACAGTGATAAATGTCCCGAACCCTCTTGGGAAGACACCTAGGAGGGGAATGGCACCAGGTAGGATATCGCTCGTGACAGCCACGGTTCTTCGCGAGCCTTTCCTGAGGCCTGTCCTCCCAGAGAAAGAGGCAGGTCAGCGGCTCTAGGATCCTGCAGGCCTGGAGAGCCGCGCCGCCCTGGAGCTGGGCCAGACGTTTCTGCAGTCCTGGTGGGGCCCTAAATGCTGACCACCTTCCCCTCTTCACCGAGAACCGCAGGTGCACGCGGTACCTGTGGGGGAGAGTTAGTGTGAGGTGTTTTCCAAAGACACGTGTAACCCCAGCACACCTGAGCTGTGACCCTGTCTGTGGTGGTCTTTTCAGGAGGAGTCACCCCCATATTCTGGCCTCTGCCAGGCTGGGATGTGCTGCCAGCTGCCAGTGGGCACAAGCCGCAGCCGTGCCAAGGCAGGACTCGGCAGCCGTGCTTTGACCGTGGAAGAATCTTTTGTGTCTACGTAAAACAGCTTCCTCGCCTAGCAGTACCCCTAGAGGTCTTATAAAAGCAACATTCCAAGCAGATTTTTTTTTAAATTAAGTGACCTGATCATTTTTCTTGTGACTAGGGTTTCACCCTTTTCAGTGGTGTGAGAATGATACTGGGGAAGCGACGACCATAATGAAGCTGAGTGCTCTCTGCGGAAAGAGCCCAGGAGGCCGCTCCTTCCACACTCCCCGCCGTTCTGCGTGCAGTGGAGAGAGGGGCTTTGGAAGCTGTGATTCACGCTTTTTGCAGCTGCCCAAGCGCTCACCTAAAATTTGTCCAAATTCGGGAATGTGAGGGCTCACTTTTCTAGCACTGTTGTCATGCCAATCCCAACCTCAGTTATGCCGTGTGGCTCACTGTGCCAAGAGGGGGCCCGGGTGTTTGTTTAAGCTGCGCATTTCTAGGAATTTAAATTCAATAACACCTAATTTGTCTAATATTTTTGGAGATTTGCTCTCTTATGTGAATTTTCCAGGTAACCAAAGCTGTGATTTTCAGCACGTAAGAATCTGTTTAACTCGCTGTTTGCTGGAACTCTGTAAAAGTGTCCTGTGTCTCCCTGCTCTCTGGGTGCTGCAGTAGGGTGCTCTGCGGTTTGGGGGAAGCGTGGTGCTGATATGAACTGGGTGTGGAGCCAGGCCAGCCAGAAGCTAGGACCAGCACCGGGTCACTCTCCAGAGAAGGAAACAGCCTCAAGGGGGCTGGCAGTCATGAAGGGCTCCGGACGAAGTGTCGTGTGCATCACGGGCGGGCTCCTTGACTGGGGTCTTCTTCTTCCCTGTCTCTCTGCCCCAAGTCTTTGCATCTCGCCAGCTGCTCATCTGACTCCTCACCTGTTCTCTCTTTTCGGCTGCCCACTCAGTCTGCCTCTCCTCCCAGCCTCAGGCGGACATGGCTTCAATTTTAGTCAGTGGTGTCCTCCCGCTGGTGCAGCCAGGGTGTCGGCCACTGGTGCACCTTCTTGTGTTTCCTAGCCACAAGGGGTTTCCTAAATTGGCACATCAAGTTGTTTTCAATAAATTGTGTGCTCATGAGTATCCACAAGCTTGAAAAATAGCCCGAGGCCCTCCCATGCTCTTTTTTTTTTTCTTTTCAAAGTTTTATTGATAAACAGATAGCAATGAGACAGTTTCAAATCAAATCGAAAGTACAGTTTCAACAAATAATACACTGCATATATTCTTCTTAGTGGTTAGTTGCTGTGCAAGATGCAGACTTGTGATCCTACTTACAAACACCATTAGAAAAAATCATTCCATTCATTAAGAGAATGCAACTATATATCTATCCCAACCACTTTGAATACACAGATACAAAATGGACATTCATAGTTACACCCCAATTTTTTTTAAGTTCCGTTGTTGAATATTATAGGTGTGTAAGCTCAGCAAACAAGACCCAATCCTCCCATGCTCCTAGAGAGGAAAGCGAACACAGAAGGTGCTGCTGCGCTCTGCCAGCTGTTTCAGTTAAAGAGTGCAGGGGCTTTGGGTTTTGTCCCTTGAAGTTCCGGTGTTGCGCTGTGCTTCAGAAGACAGAGCCTTCCAGAAATTGCAGTAGTGCTTGGTGATTTGATTTTGATCACTAACAGAAAAAAAAAAAAAAAAAAAGATCACGGAGTTTTGCGCGTATGTGTGCTTTTGAAGTACACCCAGAAAAAAATGTGCTTCCAGACCATCTCGACATGGAGGCACGGAGTGGGATTTGTGTTCACCGGGCCAAAGTCTGGAGGAGCCAGTGCAGGGCCAGGACCGAGCCTCAAAGCCACCCGGTTCCCAGGTGCACATCTGTAGTCACAAGCACCCTGGCTTCTCAGGAGTTGGAGCCCAACGTTTTTCTAGCGTCTTCTGAGATGGTTCTTGTGATTGGATCTGATGCAGATTTGCAACAGTAAGTGCAGATGGAGTGGTGCTCCCTGACACGGCGAGAAAGCCCCGATATCTACTGCTGAGGCGCTTTCCTGCTGGTAATTAGCTAAAGCCCACCATCCAGGAGTGCAGGCCTTCGCGCGATCACTCAGGTGAGCGCTGACCTTGTGTAGCTGGTTTCCTTCCATAAGACTGTGAAGACCGTAAAGTGCTCCGTCTATGAGCGTCATGTTCTGGAGCTTCTCTTAGGGTCTGGGCTGCCCTGCAATTGGAACGCTCAGTCTTCTAAGAGCACTTCGGGTTTCCAGAGTGGAGGCAGCATTGTGTCCGTCCTGGATCTTGGTGGTAGTGTGACATGTATTAAGAATTTGACTAGAAATCCACTGGACCCCACTACTCCCTTCTAGGGGTCTTCCTGAACAAGTTGAAGACCTCCTATTACAGTGACACATGCACACCCATGTTTGTAGCAGCACAACTCTTTTTAAAAAAATTTATATATTTGGTACAGGGTCTCACTACACAGCTTGAACTTGTAGTGATCCTCCTGTTTCAGCCTCCCCAGTGCTGGGATTACAGGCACGTGCCACCACGCCCAGTTTTGGTAGCTGGCTCAGCATGGGGTTGGTATGGCATTTGGTACCAAGGTTCAAACCTGTGTCCTTAGGCTTGCCAGGCAGGCGCTTAGATCACTGAGCTATCTCCTCAGCTGCAGCACAATTCTTAAGAGCTAAATCTGGGAAGCAGCCTCTATGTCTATCAACAGTGAGTGGATAAAAAAAAAAGTGACATTTGCACACCATGGAGTACTACTCTGCCATAAAGAAGGATAAAGTTGAGTCCTTTGTAGGAAAATAGACGCACCTTGAAGTCAGGTAAGGGAAGCCTCACACATACAAGCTTCAGTACTGTGTGGTTCTCTAACATGAACAAAATAACAGGTAGATAGCAGGAAGCAGGGGGTTGGTGTGCGCCTCTGTGCGTGTCATGGTGACATTCTGTCACACAGCTTGTGTAGGACTTTTGTACCGCAGATGTGGGTGCACGGTCATCTCCAGCTTGGTGTGCCTGCAGCTGCGCCTCCCTCGCCTCAGAGGGACCTGGCACAGGCCCTGAGCCTGCTGTCACTGCCCAGAGATGGCATGGGCAATGGCATCTTCCTTTCCTGGGTGCAGGCGATGAGGGTGGTGGTCACAGCAGCGACAGCCTCTTCCACACTTGCGAGGTGCTTCATCCCTCCTGCGCCGCAGGCAGGCCCTTCTCCTTGTGCACGGCGCTCCAGCTGGGCGTCCTCCTCACAGACCTCGGGCGCTTCGGCTGCGCCTCCCTGCACCTCCACCCTCCCCTCTGTCCTTCCCTCTTTCCCACCCTCCTCTGCCCAGCACATTCTGAAAACGACTGTTCAGCAAACATCCCTGTGCGCTCCCCCTGTGCTCTGGGTCTCGGGCTCCCTGTCCCCTGCTTGTGCGCAGGCTGGCCAGGTCTTCAGGTCCTCTCTTCCTCAACCCCAGCCCTCCCGGCTGATTTAACTTCCTGCTGATGCTCAGGTCAGTGGGATCTCCTCAGAACACGCAAGGTGCGCTCACCCTGCTCCTACAGCCCTGCCCCGGGGACGAGACCTCTCCGTCCCACCTGCACCCTTAGCTTCCCACAAGGCCCTCTCTGCAGCCCTCTCTGTCTTGCTTTCCGCCTGTGCACTCGCTTCTCTCTGCAGCTTCCTGGCTCCCCGGGGTTCAGTGCAAAGACTTAGGAGGCAGAGAGCACGGCCCACTGCCACATCGCCCCGTGAAGATGTGAGCCCCTCGAAGAGTCCCGTGCATTGAGTGCAAACTCATAGGTGAAGTCCATCAGCCTCGCATGTGTGAACACAGTATTGTTTCCCTCACGTGAGAAGCTGAAAGAATAAACTAAGACCCAAAATGCACAGCGCACACTGGGAGATGGGAAGAACATACTCAAAAGGGAAGAGAGACTGCAGTGGGGGGAGGAGAAAAGAAGAAAAGGAAAAGGAAAAAAAAATGTATATATATACACACACACAAGATAATTGTTACACTACTAATTGCTATTAGCTCTTTGAAAGGAAAGGTATATGCTTATATCATTTGATCAAGTTTTTGTGCTATATCTTGTAACATAGGCAACTACTTTAACCACTGTTACTCTCCTACAATCTTGTTTCGAAACTTTACACCATTGTTCTTATTGTTCATTTTTCTTTTCTTTAAAAAAGAATAAGCTATTAAAAGACTTTCCACTCACTTCCCTGGAAACTTCAAGTTAATATTTTTATTGAGTTAAAAAAAAAAAAAAACAACCCTGGAAATTGGAATGTAAATACAAGCTATCAAAATGATCACCATGAGACTGTAATGTTAAGTGAGTTAAATCAGACACACAACCTTAAAAAATGAGTCCCCAAATAATTTTCAAGGGAAAAAAACTCAACACTTGAAATTTTAACTTAAAATACAGTGTAATTATTAAATGCTGGCAAATACTCTGAATTCTTTTAAACCATAGGAAGACAAAACAGACCTCCAGGGTCTCGTGCAGCCCCAGGGCTGTATTTTGCCTCCCCTGCTCAGTGGTTTGTATATTGTCTTGTTCAGGATTTAATTCTTCCCTAATTGTTTAGTTTGTTTTATTTCTGTCTCCCCAGCCACAATGTCCCTGACAGCAGCTCCACCTGAGTCCCCGTGGGTGTCTGTTGTGGAACTCAATACAGAAGTCGCAATGAATAATACCCATGGTGCAATTCTCTTGTGAAATCACTTTTAAATGAACTTGCACGGTGTGGGGGTGTAATGAGCAAGATCCCACGTGGGGGTTTTCTGCTTGTTTTCATTCCGATGGGAACTATGGGGTGGAAGCTTCCAGCAGTTTCTGTTATGTCTCGGGTCCAAGTCCCAAATTCCTCATCAGGGTAATATCCCAACTTGCTGCCTCGTCACATTGTGAGACAGGGCCAGATTTTTCTGTGAAAGAGGAAGGAACTGGGTCACTTTCACATTTTAGTAACAATGCTTGGCTATGGAGTGCCATCAGTATCTTCAGATAATCTACAGGTACTGCACTTGGGGCATTAAGAATGTGGTCCATCTTAGTGTTACTCCTTGGGTAAGCAGGGGCCAGGTGCCTTCTGCAGTTACGTTTGAATTCTACTTTTATATTAAAATAAGTTGCCTGAGATCGGAAGCGTGCACATTGTGTGTCTGAAATCATTCTTAGTCACAGTGCATATCAGAAAGAAGTTTGTGTGGCTCTGCTTGGGTAGGGAGCTCGGGGTGCATGACGTGAGCTCGCTCTCCCAGCCTGCTGCACCCTGCACTTTGACACTGTAACTTCTGCCTCACTGCTGTGATTTCATTCAGCACCAGGAGAGAGATTCCATGCTGCACGGCTAGCAGCAGACATGAGTAATTGCTTGAGTCATGCATGGCGGGACTGACAAGGGAGCACATTCCAGAACCATGCGGCCGCCCTCGGAACCATTCACACAAGATCTTTATTCTCACCAGAAGGCAACCCAGAAGCCTGCTGCCGAGGCCCCTGCTAAGCTTCTTGGCAGGCTTTCACTTGCAGAGCGGGCGCCACGCAGAGGCCCTGAGCGCTGTCCGGCTTCCGGGTAGCCATGGGGCTGCGTTCCCAGCAGTGGGCTCAGCATGAGCGTGGGCACCAACACTGCTGTCCTTTCTCGCTGTCTTCTGCAGGTACTCAGCGTGCCAACGCCCGGGCCCCGGCCCCCTACAAGCGAGATTTTGAAGCCAAACTAAGAAACTTTTACAGGAAGTTAGAGACTAAAGGATACGGACAAGGCCCAGGGAAATTAAAGTAAGTCAACAACAATGCAAACTGCACCATCTGCGATAGTGAGGCCGGGAGGCTAGGAAGTGGCCTGCGATTGGGGTCCGCAAGCCTCTGTGCGGCTCTGCAGTTCTTGAGGCATGGTAATGGACCAGATCACATAAAACACGGTTCTGGAACTAATCACAAAAAGCTGGGTTACTTCCTGTCCTGAAGAGTAGCTCTCCTGTGATGTAGGGGGCATTGCTCAGATATAAAGGAAAGCCATCAGCCGTGTGTTTTTTTCTGTGAAAACAACTTTACTTGTCAACAAAACAAGTGGTGAATATTATTTCTGCCCTTCGCAGAAGAATATTGTTTGAGAATATTGTTTTTCTCCACCTTGCTGTCAGCAGGGATCGTGCCCTTCGGCCTAGAATTGTTTTCATTCCCTGCCACCACCACTCCCCAGCCCTGGGCCCACCCCATGTCCCCAACAAAGCTCATTCTGCCACCTGCAGAGGAGGGAGAGTCCACACCAGAAAGCCACTGTGCCCCTGGCCCAGCCCCTTCTCTCCTTCCACTGCCAGTGAAGGGCACCTGGTGTCCATGGACGGGTGACTGTAATGGCCATTGTCACTTGCTGACAATTGTCACTAGTTGACACTTACTTGGCCAGGATGCTCTTAATTTAAAACAAAGTTGAGCACCATTGGACAGTTTGTTTGCTTTGAAAAATACAAACTTTTCTTCTCTCCCTGTCTCCTGGCTCACTACCTTCTCCAAGGTACTTAGTGATTGAGTGCACCTTGTCTAGGTACACTCAGGATTAAGGTATTATGTCACAGGGCTGTTATCCCTTCAGTAAACAGAAGTTGGGGGTGTGTGGTTTTATGATTTTGTCTTCTGAGGTAATTGATTTGGCCCCTCGGAAAGGCCTCGGGTGTTTCTTAGGGCAGGGCGCTCTAGTTACCTGCAACTCTGTTATGTAACTTTTGTCAATGCTGTTGAGAGCCGAAGACAATGCATACCTCGATGCAGACAGAGGATGTGACGCAACTTCACTTGTCCCCTAGTTCATTGATGTAAACAAAAATTAAATGTCAGGGGCCCCAGTTCTAGAGAGGTAGCGATCAGAGAATAATCTGTATTTTTCAAATTGTCTTTTTATGGCCAGGTTAATTATCCGAAGAGATCACTTGCTGGAAGATGCTTTTAATCAGATCATGGGCTACTCCAGAAAAGACCTGCAGAGGAACAAGCTGTATGTCACCTTCGTCGGGGAGGAAGGGTGAGTAGAACAGAGAAGCGGCCGGGACGCAGGCTGTGGCTGCGGGCGGATGTTTGCCCACGCCGCTGCGGTCGCCAGAAACAGGAAATCCTTCTGGCAGGAAGTGCTGTTCTCATACGCTTGAGCATGTTGGCTTTTTAGTTCCTTGGTAAGGATTCTTCTGGTTTTTAGATCATTTGACCTAGACAAATGTTCGTGTGTTAAAATGTGTAACAGAAGTCATTTTTGGAGGTCAGAAGTCTTGTTCGGTTTCTTCTCCCTGCATTTCTTTACAGCAAAATTGGGGTTTTTGCAAAACCCAAGGAATAGCATCTGAAGATCTGGGGTCTCCATGGCCACGCTGGGTCGTCTGTTAGTGAAGTTCTGGGTCAGGGAGAGCTGAGGGGCCTCTGCTGTTCTCCCAGGAGGCTTCCGTGGCAGTGGCTCTGGGCAATGGACCTCGCTGTCCACCTCAACTGTTTCTCTTTGCAGCGCAGGCGCCAAGGGAACAAGGACCAGCACAGCTTCCTGCAGAGTCCCAGGTTTCCTCCCAGGGCCCTGCGTGACCCTCCCACGCATGCGCAGCAGGAAGGGCTAAGCAATGAAGGGGCTGAGGCTCCCAACACTAGCGCTCGACTTGCACCACGCACTGTGAGGTTGGCGCGGGTCACCTCACACTGGTCCCCCGTCCCTCCCGCGGCTTCTCTCTTTCTCCAGGGCTGTCTCACTGATGCCTTCTTAGAGGTCACCTGCAGCTGTGACACCGAAACTTAAAAAATACTGTCTGAGTTATCTCAACGCTGGAGTGCTCTCTGAGTTTGTTGGGTAGTGTGGTTTGACAACCACCCCGCCAGCCGTGTCCGGGAATACAATCAGAGTCATAGCAGCCAACCCCAGAACCCTTCAGTGCATGGTTGGTTCAGCGTATGGCTGGTGATGGGGAAACGCTAACGTGTGAAAGAACTCCCTGTACGGAGGAGCTGGGGAAGCACAAAATCGGGACCCTAACCCAGGCCCTTTATCTTTGCATCCAGGGTTCTGGGGCCAGGCCTGGGACGGAGCCCCAAGTCCTCGGCTGCGGGCTCTCTAGAGTTGTGCTTGTCTCACTGGAGCGTTTTGCTGTCCCAGCACACAACTGACAACTGTCTCCCTGCCACAAATAAAGTACAATGTGCCTGAAGTGACAGCTTTGGGCAGAGGCCCGCCGCACGCCTGCACCTTTCATTCCAGTGTACACAGATGCACTTCCGGCTGGTGTGACCCTAAGGTGCAAGTGCACCATGGGAAAGCCAGGCAGGTGTGGTTAGCCTCACACAGGTGTCCCTGGGACTCCAGATGTTTCCTTACAGAGCCAGTCTGGTATGGATGAGGACACTTCCCTCCCCCAGGACTCCAGCTGCCTCCCTCACTGTTGGACCATGGAGTGTTGGAGGTTTCATTTTCTTACACTTTTTTTTAAAAGGAGATCTTGTTAGTTGCCCTGGATGACCTTGAGCTCCTGGGCGCAGCCTCCTGCCTCAGCCTCATCCTGCCTCAGACTCCTCAGGAACTGGAACCATGGGCATGCATGGCTGCGCCTAGCCCAGTTTGTTGAGATCTCAAAGGCAGGGGGATCCCTTCTGGGTAGAGCAGGAGGTGTGGCCACCCCAATACCACCGACTCCCCTGTTCTGGACTGAGGGTCTCACTTCCCAGGAAGGATCCCTACTGAGTGAGCTGGTTCCTCTGTTTGACTCCCTCTGCTATCCAGCGTGCAGGCCTGCATCACCTATATTTCCTGTGGCTCCAGGGGAACAAAGGAGCGGATGTTTTCGGTGGACCTTGGTTACCAGGAGCCATCTCTTGTCCTGTGCCTTCTGGATGGCTTACAGAGGTGGGCTTCAGGGCTCTTACCTTACTCATTTCAGCATTTTACATATAAATTATTAGATGCTGACACTATTTTGCCACTGAATTACTGAAAATACATTTACTGCTTAGAAAGATCACAACAGTACCCTGCTGAAATACAGGAGCCTTAGAACTGCGTGAGATTAAGGGGCTCTGGAAGCCTGTGCGTCTTTTCAAACCTGTTGGCTGTATCATGTGAAGTGACAGTAACATCTCTTCCTGGATTGTAATAACTATCCAAAGTAAAAAGCTGCCTGGGTCTTTTCACTGAATTACAAAAATGCAAGTTCTGAGTTCCTTTCCTTTCCTCAGCTCTAGTGCCCCCAAATGTGTCATTTTGTAAGTTCTCCATGTCAAGATCTAGTAGCATGAATTTAAAAGCAGGCGTCAGGCACTCAAGTCTTGGATCCTCATGAATGGGAGGCAGCAGGCCTGGAGAGATGGCCAATTCTTGGGCCAGTGCAGGGAATAAACAGGACAGAGCCTGAAACAGCTCGTAGCATCTACAGCGACTCTCAGAAAATCTAAGGTGCTGTAGGCTGTCGGAACGTCACAGGAGCCAACTGAAAGAGCTCGCGACGGCCAGAGCTAGGGTTATCTGAGCAGCAAAGCAAATAAAGTAGTGCTGGCTTTTAACTCCAAGTGTAAAGTGCACATCCATCCCAGTTAAGTGCGTGAACAAATACATAAATAACTAAACGGAAAAGAATCTTTAAATCTCCTGTGCAGAAGTTTCAGAAAACTCAGTCTCATTCCGTCCATCCTATGTGTGGGTTGTACGTTGTGACTTTCTTCCCAACAGTACAGTATGGAAAAGAGAGGAAAGAAGGAAGCTTATGGTAGAGAAGGCTGGCAGATGCTGTCTCTGTCAGGCATTCAGAATTACTTAGTGTCAGTAGCCCAAGCCGTGTTGGTAGAATATACCTGTCACCTTCTGGATAAAAACACTGTACTCCCCATGTCTCCTTCCATATCCATCACTTCAGTCCAGTCACGAGGAAAACATCAGCTCAGCCCCATCTGACTCTTGTGGGAGACACCTTCCCAGTACTCTTAAAGTTGTTAAGGTCGTCAGAACCAGAGGAGTCTGGGCAACTGACAGTCAAGAAGAGACATGATAATTAAAGGTCATGTCCTAGGTGAGACTTTGGAACAGAAAGTAGGTATTAGCTGAAAGCTAAGGAAATCTGGGTAGAGTATGCATTTTCATTAGTAATAATGGATCAATACTGGTTCATTAATTGTGTTCCCACTTCTTCCCACTGTGCCAAATGACAGTTTTTGTTTTTTGGGTTGTTTTTGGCGGAACTGGGGATTGAACTCAGGCCCTTGTGCTTGCCAGGGAAGCGCTTATTCTACTGAGCCATCTCCCCAGCCCCAACTTTTTTTTTTCCCAAATGCCAGTTATTGAAGGGACAAGTTTTACAAAATCTAGTCATAAGAATACTAAACATGAGGAAGCTGGAGCCCGGGGTCTCGAATCCACCTCATAAGAATAGGGTTTAGGGGTATTTGTGTCAAGAAACAGGGTGGTCTGAAGTAAAAGGAGGGGTCCTTGTGGGCGGGGAAAAGTCAAGTTAGCGATTGTCTGCAAGTACACAGTCCAGCTCCACAGCCCTGCAGAAGCCACGCTCACAATATGGTGGCACTAGTGCCATCTCAGGGTACAGTTTCAGCCCTGTGATGTCACCCGCCAGGTTGCCCATGGGATGCTCACACAGGTCCTGGCGAAGGGTCCATTTGCTATAGACAAAAGTGGCCTCCACATTCCTGAAAAACACCTTGGGTGACTGTACCTGTCCACCTCAGAGGCGTCACCTGTAGCAAAGCTAGTACAGGTGTCCCCTCAGCTACCTGACTTCTAAAAATGGTGACAAGAGGAAGTCTCTGAAAGTGAAGCTGGAGGGTTGATCCCAGGTTTTCAATCATAACAAGAAATCTAATGTGAGACATCAGTAAAGGGAAACTGAGCCTGGAGTGTACAAGAACTCCCTGTACTGTCTGCAGCTTTTCTATATATTGAAACTATCCTATAATAGTTTGTTAAAAGAGAATATATGTTCCAATAGAGAAATTCAGGGACTGTTTCCCTGAAGGATGTTTTTTGTTGCCCAGGGGCTGCCTCTGGATAACTTTTGGTTGTGTATGAGCCTCTGTCGTTACATGAGGTAAGAAGCATACCAAGGTTTCTGTGCAAAGAAGAGAGTTAATTCTGTGCAAAGTATAGACCAGCAGAGGAAGCTGGCAAACACTGTCTCTGTCAGGTGGTCAGGGTAGCAGGTAATATTCTGTACATCCATGTAGAATAGTACGTGTAGGATAGTATACATGTATCACAGAATTTTCTACAGAATAGAATACACTGAACAGACATATAGAATATTATCATGTGTCAACTTTGCACTATCTACAAGGGATTAATACTTTGTAATATTTTATTGGTACCATCTCAAGAACACAGTTTCCATCCACACACCCTAGGCCTTTCTTTACAATAAATTGGCCAACGCATAAGGAAAAGGAGTTTTAATTTGACGAATGATACATTTATTTGTATTCCAAAACAGTGTGAATGTGCAGATTCAGAAAGACTTCAGCTCTGCTTATGCTATTTCTTTGCATAGATCTGACTCATGATGCATAGACTGTTCTTAAAATAAGAAGAGAGACTTGTTGGGAAATCTGGGTCAGAACTTTGCGGGATGACAACTGATCTCCAGGATTCATAGTGGAGACTTCTCTCTTTAAATCATAAAAGTACAAAACTAATCTTGGGGTCTATGAATGCAAGTGTGTAGTCTTGGTTAACAGCTAGAATTTCCCACTAAGATCATGCTTTGTGTTATGCTTGGCATTGTACAAAGAGTAGATGGTTTTTACACACTTGTAAGCAGTGGCTTAATTTGGTTAGAGCTGAGTTTGCTTGTTTGTTTGTTTGTTTGTTTGTTTGTTTGTTCGGTGCAGGGACTCACTGCGCAGCTCAGACTTATAGTGATCCTCCTGTCTCAGCCTCCCCAGCACTGGGGTTACAGGTGTGCGCCACCACACCCGGTTTCTGTGGCCAGCTCATTGCAGGGCCAGCAGGGCATGTGGTATTGAGGATCATACCTGGGTCCTTGGGTTTGCCAGGCA